TTTCTCGACCTCGCGCGCGCCTTGCGACCTTTCGCAAAATCTCGATCGATTTTAAGCAGCTCAAGATCTGTTGGAACAACGACGACGAATTACATAGCGAGAAAAAGAAATCTCTTTTGATACTTACACTGCCACTCGAAAGCCTTAGGACACTTTTATTTTTTAGTATTCACTAACACAATTATCATGTTTTATCACAATATATATTACATGTATTATAACTATATAGTACATATTATACATATTTTATAATACAATTAATATATTAATATATTAGTTTCATAATATATTAGTGTCTTTATTGTCAATAAAATATGCTTTATATTTATTGTATTTAATTTAATTTAATTATTTGTATATAATTAAATTATATACAATTATATACAACATATATACAATTATATACAATTATATATAATTATATATAATTTAATTATATACAATATACATTAATTAACATATATTAACATATTAATATATTACTTTATAAAGTATGTTTCATACTTGATGTGTTTCATTGTATTGCAATTTATAATTCTGTACCATTTTTATTATACAAATGTGCAACAATATCATGCAAATGTATATTGTGTAATTTACATTGCAAATCTCGCATTTATCGTATCACAATTCATATTTACTGTACTATTTTTACTATAAAACTTGTACCAAGGCTTGCGAGCGAGAGTGTACGTCCAGCTAAGGCAAGAAAAAGAAAGTGAAAGAGAAAAGGGGGAAAAATAAGAGTGCTTTCTCACGTGACTGACAACTGGGAAAAGAAGAGAAGAGAAGAGGAACGTTACAAAATCTTGTTAACAACCTGCTCTTGACATGCGGTTGCGTAAACGCTGACGCAAGTTGTTTTTAGCCGTTGATTTCGCGTTAATTGATCATTCGAGGTGTAATTAATTTCGCTTTGCGAAACGATTCTGCGAATTGCAAACAGCCGAGAGCGGGTCACGCCGATGGAAAAAGCGGAAGGTCTCACCTGGCTCGAACACGTTGTCCTGATTTCTCTTGTAGATCGTTGGTTTCGCCAGCATCGTCGTCGCAAAGAAGCAAAGGACGAGGAGGAAGCTCGCACTCGGCGACAACGACATAATCGCAGAGGGACAAATGAGGAATAATGTCGCGTCGCGTACCGATCGCGAGGAGAGCAACGCCTGTCCTCTTGGGCCGATGTTTGGACCGGCACTAATGTCGCGTCGCGCAACACCAAAGAGGTGAAAACACTTCTGAGTGGGGAAAGCTGCGGATAAACAACGGAATCGCCCGCTCTCCGGCAATTCCAACGCGACCCGATTTCCTCAGCCGATCTCTGCCGATTTCCTCATCCGATCTCTGCCGATTTCCTCATCCGATCTTTGCCGATTTTCTCATCCGATCTCTGCCGATTTCCTCAGCCGATCTCTGCCGATTTTCTCAGCCGATTTCCTCAGCCGATCTTTGCCGATTTTCCTGACATTTTCCTCTCGACGCGTGCAATTCTGTCTCGGTTACCAAAGAAAATAAAAAAAAAAATTGGCAAGGAAAATGGGAAACTTGGCGAATGGAAGGGATGAACGTCACGAGAGAGATTGGTCGCTGGCGACCTGCTACGATGGAAACTGGGTTAAAAAGTGAAAGGATCCAGCAGGAACGCACGACCGTGGCTTCTTGTTCGACGCTGTTCGCACGGCGAAAATATTCCAAGAATTTCCAGGTGTCGTTTTGTCAGAACCGAGGGGCAAAATTTCGATCGATCATTCGTTTCATCGTCATCGAACTTCCGAAGCTTTCAAAAGCGTACTCGAACGCGCTATTATCGTTTTATACCGAGCGTACCGTAAATACCAATAAACAAACTTTCAACATACGGACAAGTACACAGAAAAATGTAATAATTATTATTCGTTTAAAATTACTTTCATTATTATTTTTTTATTGATTGTTTCTTGCGCGCTGTAATGTTATAGTGACTGTCCCCAAAGTCAGTATTCAAAAGAGAAAGAAAAAAATACGAAACTTCATCTAACAACAGTAGCTGTCCAATCTGTCAGTCTTCGATGAAAGGATGTTTTTGTTTTTTCTTTTTTTTTTTTTTTTAGTTCGACGTTAATGAAATTGAAATAAGATATCGGTTACGTGCACGATGTAAGACTGATTCAACGCAGCCACAGGCTTTGTTTATTTTTACACACAGTGAACGAGAGATTCGCGTTTGTGTATTTATTTGAAAAAAATCCAACAAATCCAACAATCGGTCAGATAATTGAAGTAGAGGGAAATTGAATTCTATTAATCGACCGAGTTCGAATCATACGAATAAATAAATTTATCATCGTCGTAGCTACTGATCGAGCAGAGATGTTCTGCATCCACTCGCCAGATATGAGAACACTGTGACAAACGATTATCATCGGTGTTTTTCTCGGGGGACTTTTCGCCTACGGTGAATCACGTAGTGCCGTACCTCTGGTAGAGCTACTTCGCCAGCACTTTATTCGAAAGTCAAAGGAAACTTGCGACGAACAATGCCAACTTGGAACAATGCAGCGAAGCAGCGACGACGAGTATCCCGTATTCTCGTTCGCCGCAAGCTGCCCAGCAATTTCCCTTGTATACGCTTTCAGATTCGAATGGATTTTCTCTTAGTTAGTTTGCAAACGTTTGACAACTATTTTCAGGAAATAGAGGATGTTGTGAGAAACGTATGTTTTTTTATTGTCGGTAAAAACGTAACATGTACATAATTGGGAGACGTAAGATACAAAATTGACGCTGATTGAAGTCTAATAGTAGTTTATACAGGGTGGTCCATTAAGTAAGGCCACTTAACACTAAACGTACCGACATTTTACATATACCTATCTTACCATAAGGGGTCATTTGAGTTGATTTTTAGAAAGAAATTTTTAATTTATTAAAGGAAATAATTTGCAACATAACTTCTGATTTCTAATAAAATACTTAAAAATGTATTTTTATTTAAAATAAATTTTTATAAGAGGCCGATTTTAACCCCGCTTGGTACGTTTAGTGTTAAATATCTTTTCGAAATTGCCTCGCCTAATATGAATAAGGCCAATAACAGGTATATTCAAGTGAGAAGTTATTGGACTTTCGATACTATTCGTATTAGGCGAGGTAAGAATATTCTCATTCATTTTTTATTTCTGGAGTTTTCAAGATCATTGATGTTTTTTTCCAGTACAACTACTTTTTTTTTATTGCATCGCGTAGCTAAAAAAAATACATAGTTCGGACATAACCTTAAAATGATACTGATGTCCAAAAATTTAAGTTCTTCTTTGAAAGAATGACTAGTCACTTTAGTATGAAAAATAAATTCATCAGTGACCTTGAAAACTCCAAACAAAAAAAAAAAGTTCTTACCAATTATTGACCTTTCGAACAATACCAATCGTGTTAGCCGAAAAATATTTTTGCATCGTCGCAATTCGAAAAGATATATATTCAAGTAGCCTCACTTAAATGGACCACCCTGTAAATAAATACGTATAAAAGTATTGTCACACCTAGTTTTTTGGTGACATCTTTATGAAAACAAACCTTATATATTATCTTTTATAGCTAATATTTAATATTAGCTATAATGAATTCATGCGTAAAATTTAAATTTTCAAGGTTATGTTCTTTACATCTTTTCATCAGCTGCATAATGAAGTAAATATATATATATATATAGTTCTATGAAAAGAAAAACATTAATGACCTTGAAATCTCCGGGGAAAAAAAGATAACTCTGGAAAAAAAAACATTCTTGGCCTTTCAATACCAAAAATTCATGTTGCACGAAAAATATAATTTTTTGTATCCCAACAATTCGAAAAGATGTTTAGGTTAGGCCTGGCTTAAATGGACCACTCTAATCTCTCCGTGTATTAATATTATGTGTATTAATTATGTACGACAAACATTCTTTTAACGGTTGCTACCGTTGAAAAATACGCTGGATATTACGAGTGGAATTGCGACATTTGTTCGGATCATTGGCAAGTGGTAAACGGCATACGGATCGAAAACTGGAACGACAATGCCTAGAAATTGGTCGGCCGGGGGTAGTGAAAGCATGCACGGTGACACATCCGGGCCTTGCCGCGTATAATCTAGCCGTTCCATCCTGGCAGAGCTTGTTCTTGCATCGCTCGAGATACATACATACGTATGTACACGCGAGGCAAAATTATGCCACCCACCGTCGGTGTTGCAGGGACGTCAGCGACCGATCGGAAGTGTGCGCGTGACAGGTATGTCACCAACGAGCTGGCAAATGGCCTGTGAAAACGTGACGTCATGCACTGGTTTTAAAGAACCACGTAGCTCAAAATAGAGAAAAAAAAAAAAGAGAATAGAAGCAGAGGTTGGTCGAAGCTTTTTGATTTTCCAGTCAATTTGACGCGAAATATATACTTTACTTTCTCCGCCGAAATATCGAAATATCTTCAAGGATAGTAAAGATTAAACAACATTATCGACCGGACGAATCAGTCGATATACGATCTTGACCGAGAGAAATTAGATACGAGAGCCGTATATAAATAACCTCGCAACGTGGACAAACGAACGTTCCGTTTCAGTTAGCCTGGTCCCCTGAATCTCCCGCTTTCCCCCATTAACGGCGAAGCGAGGGGAATCGAACGAAATCGACACAAGAAGAATGATTCACTCGGCGAGTTGTGTGCAGACACGCCGGAGCCATTCGAGCGAGAAAGTTCCCCTCCAAGCGTGGCTCCTTCGTGAACAAGACAAAAAGACAGCCGAGTGAGAAAGTTCTAGTTACGGCGTTCAGAGTTTTGTGTATTCTCTTCCACGGTGGTGAAACTCTATCGAAGTTCCACCTCGGATCCGCGAACGAATCGTAATTGTCTCGTCGTTCAGTATCAATACGGCTGTGCATGCAGGATGTATTCCTCGCGGGAAATGACGACTCTCAGGGATTGTTCTTTGTCACATGAACTACCTTTTCCAACACTTGTTCGTTCCGTTTCTTGGTCCGACTTGACACTTCGAGTGTTTTATCGTTTCGAGAATGTGTGTTTGGTTATTTTTAAGCTGCGAAGCATGAGTAATAAGTGCATTTGCCATGAAATTGAAATAAATTACAATAAGATTCAAGAATGTAACAAAATTTTACGATAAATTATAAAATTTTCTGGTTTTCTTTTCTTCTTTTTTAAATTATGCTTTACTGTGAATGTTCGTCATAAAGTTGTCATTTTCGTAAAAAGTTACATATAATAATTCATATAATATTATAATGTTATATGATGTTAAATTACATATAACGATAGCAATTTTTCCTTTTTTGTCCCAAATTCGTTTATTCTAAAATTGAATTTCGTTTCTCGTTTTTTATCTAAATTTTACTTCAACGGCAAATGCAAATTCTGTTACACTGCATGACGAGTATACTCGACAAAAGCAGAACAAGTGCACTTGCTATGAAACTGAAATAAATTATAATGAAATTGATATATTAAAAGTGGCGTTGAATTTTGAATAATATAAAAACTATGTTAAAATACAATAATTATAATAAATTGAATTATAGTAAAATCAGTACAATAAATTATAAACCTTTCTAGTTGTTCTTTTAAATCATTGTAATCAACATAAAATTATTGTAAAAAATATACAATTACAATTTTTTTTTTTGTTCAAAAGTTCTTTTAAATCATTGTAATCAACATAAAATTATTGTAAAAAGTATACAATTACAATTTTTTTTTTGTGCAAATTCCTTTTATTATGCGACGAGTAGATTTTCGATCTAAACATCGAACGATCGAGCGATCTTTCGCGAGGATCATCCATCCGATAAATAGAGCTTTTGTTTATAGTTTACACCTCGAAGATCTCGACGCAGTTTCTGCTTTTCGCTAGCAGTGTTTCGGCTATATAAGCGATCCGGTCGTAAAGAGAGCGCGATTGCGATAACAGGTGAGATTTATCACTGTTTTTACGGTTTCCGAGGGCGATCGTGCATTTTATCGCGTAGTCCTCGGCGCGATAAAAATATTTGCAACGAGTCTCGCTTTACGCCGAGACGGAAGCGGAAACAACGTAGATAAGAGAGGCGATAGCTTCGTCCCCCCGT